CGTCCTTCAGGCTCAAGGCCTCTCGCTGGACATCCTTGCTCTGCGATGGCGATCGGAGGCGAACCAGAGTTTCGGTAGCAAGCCAGTTGCCCCTTCGGTGCAGCCTCCGCCTTGGCACGAGAGCAGTGCGAACGACAGGCGGGCTGGTACGCAGCAGAGCTGCAGCGCAGGCAGAATGCATGGCCCGAGCAGAAGCTAGCTGCGGAGTTCGATCTTGAGCGTCAGTGTTTCCACCTACGCCCACGGTCCGCTCTCCAACCTCCGCCGAAGCACAGTGCACAGCGGCGACAGCAACAGGCGGAGGCGGCAAGCCAGGCGCCGCGCTCGGACCGCAGAGTCCCGAGCCGCGTCGGGCGCCAACAACACATCAGCAAGCCCAAGGGGGCGGGAGGGAGTGAACCCTGACGTGTGCCGAGCCCCGCGGGGTACGGCCTACGCCACGGGGCTCTTCCCACCACGAGGCTCGCAAGCTCGTCGCAGGCATTCGTGATCTACGCACCCGCCTGGCGCCACGAGCACAGGATGCGGGGAGGGAACCCAGGAGTGTGCGTAGTCCGCCAAGGGCTGCGCCTACAACACAGGTTCCCTCCCCGCCCGCCGCCACCGCCTCGGCAGACCGATGGGTCCCGAGCCACAGGGTACCAGAAGCTTCATTATGGCGGAGTGCCGCAGGGGTGCGACTGAAGATAAGGGGGAAGCTGCTGAGACAGATAGCGCCCTTCAGCGCCTGCCGCGCGCCTCGCGGGCGACGCGCAGCTTGGTGCCCAAGGCGACGCGAGCCCCAGCCATCAGCGCATTTTACCTGGCACCCAGCGCTTCGAGCTCAGCCCGCTCCGACGGGAACGTCTGCTGCTGCTGTTGCTGCTGCTCCTCGTATTGCTCGGAGTCGCGGTGCTGGTATCCGTTGGACTGCCGCTCGGAGGCCGCCTGGGTGGCATCGCGCATCTGATGATGATGTTGATGATGATGCTGCTGATGACGATGACGATGATGATGATGGCGGTGGTGGTGATGGTGATGATAATAATGACGATCACGACGACGACGACCACGACGACGACGACTACGATGACCGCGACGACGATGCTGCTGCTGATGATGGTGGTGTTGATGATGATGTTGATACTGGTAGTGATGATTGTTGTAATTCTTCACGCTTCGCGTATCCCCACCAGCCCATCTCAAAACAGCAACTCTAGCGAAGCATGCCGACAGTCGTGTTTTTCAGGCGTGTTTCCGCCTGCCCCCGCATATCTCCCCTGTTCCTCCTCCCTCCCGCCTCCTTGTACATCCTCCTTGTGGTGGGAGCGGGGAAGGACGAGGCGGAGGAGGAGGGAGAGAAAGCGCTCCTCGTGGTTTGAGTCGTTCGGGCTTCTCGTCCTGGTGTGAGTCTTTCGGGCCCTTCTTCCTGGTGTGAGTCGTTCGGGCTCTTCGTGGTGTGAGTCGTTCGGGCTCTTCGTCCTGATGTGAGTCGTTCGGGCTTCTCGTGGTGTGAGTTGTTCGGGCCCCTCGTCCTGGTGTGAGTCGTTCGGGCCCCTCCTCCTGCCCGTCCAGAAACGACGCCCAGGCGAGTAGAGGGTCGTCCTGATGGGTTTTTCAGCGTCTTGGGTGCCTCGGGGGGGCCTCTTTGGGCCGTTTGGGATCCTCTTGGGGGCCTCCTGAGGGCCTCTTGGGGCCATCTTGGGGCCTCTTGGTGCCTCCTGGGCGCTTCTTGGGGCCATCTTGGAGGAAATCGATCAAAGAAGAGGGGGGCTTTACTTAGCGCTGCCCCCTCAGAAGGCCAAACTGGGGCCAAAACCTTAGTAAAATCAATGATTTTGGCTTGAAAGAAGAGGGGAGCTTTAATTAGCGCTCCCTCAGAAGGCCAAACTGGGGCCAAAACCATAGTAAAATGAATGATGTTGGCTTCAAAGAAGAGGGGAGCACTTTTCTGCCTCCCCCCGTCGGGGCCAGAATCCTCGTGAGGGGTGTTGTTTTTTTAGCCCTCCCAGGAGTCGAAAACGACCCCTCCAACGACCCGCGGGGCGCCCTCTCCAGGCCCAGGGGGAGGGGGTAGGGGGATGGGTAAACCCCTCCCCGAAGGGGAAGAAGGGAGTTGAGAACAGAACGGGCTCTCTAAACCACTCACGCCCAAAGGGCTGGTGGGATTATGATGGGCGCTGATGATGCTGATGATGATGTTGATGATGCTGCTGTTGATGATGACGATGATGATGATGATGATGATGATGATGATGATGATGATGATGATGATGATGATGATGATGATGATGATGATGCTGAGGATGACGATGTTGATGCTGACGATGCTGATGATGCTGAGGATGCTTATGCTGTTGCTTATGCTTATGCTGATGCTGATGATGCTGATGATGATGATGATGATGCTGATGCTGATGATGATGATGATGGTGATGATGGTGCTCCGTATGCCGTCATCATGATGCTGACGACGATTATGTTGATGGGGATCATGATTATGATGAGGACGATGTGTGTTGTGCTGGTGTTGTTCATGTTGGCGATGCTGATGATGGTGGTGGTGGTGATGCTGCTGATGATGGTTGTGTTGGTGATGCTGGTGATGATGCCGATGCCGTTGCTGATTGTGATTGTGCTGATGCTGATGATGCTGGCGATGATGATGCTGATTATGACGATGATGATGCTGATGATGATGCTGATGCCGATGCTGATGAGGAGGATGCTGACGATGACGTCGACGATGATGATGCTGATGCTAGTGATGATGATGCTGCTGCTGATGATGATGATTAAGATGTTGACGATGCTGGTGCTGATGCTGATGCTGCTGCTGCTGACGATGATGAATCTGATGATGCTGATGATGATGCTGATGATGCTGATGATGATGATGATGATGATGATGATGATGATGGTGACGTGGTTGCTGCTGATGATGCTGATGATGATAATGCCGTTGATGATAATACTGCTGCTGAGGATGGTGGTGGTTGTGATGGTGATGGTGATGACGAGAAGGAAGAGCAGGAGGAGGAGGAGGAGGGGGAGGATAACGCCACAGGGAAACCGTAGGTCGGTCTAACTTCAATTGAAGGAGGAGGAGGCGGAGGAGGAAAAGGACCAGGAGGAGGAGGAAGACCGTTACATGTGACAATCTTTGCCTTTACTATTAGAAGAGCTCTCATGGAACTCGTTTGGTCTGTCTTGGGGCTGTCTGGACATTCAGTGAGGCAGTCTTGGGGGTTCCTTGGGGCCCTCGTGTGTCGCCTCGGGGCCCTTTCCTGCCGTCTTGGAGCCTTCTTGGCCGTACGGTGGGTTGCTGGGGACCAAGCCGCCTGTGGCTGTCAAAATACCGTCTGAGGCTGTCTTGGGTCGCATGGGAGGCCCTGTTCGACCATCTTGGGGCCCTCTTGGATCCCTTTTTGGCGATCGTGGGATCTCTTGGGCCATATTGGGACCCTCTTGAAGGCCCTGCTGGGCCGTGTTGAGGCCATCGTGGAGGCTTCTTGGGCCGTCTTGAGCTGACCGAAGCCCGAATAGGCGAGAATGCGACAGTCATTCAACAACCAAAGAGGAATCAATGAACCTGTCTTCTTTGGGGCCATGTTGGAGGTCCTTTTATGACCCTTTTGGGACCGCTTGGGGGCATCTTGGGCCGTCTCGAGACCATGTTCGGCCGCCTGGGACATCTTGGGCCGTCTTCGAGGTATCTTGGGACATTTTGGTGTCCTTGGTTGTCTGCATGGGACGTCTTGGAAGCTCGGGACGCGGATCCATAGTTTTTTTTACAAAGGGATCGTTGCTTCGGGAGCCCAACTCCATGGTTTTTTGTTCGAGGGATCGTGGCCTCCAGAGGGAGTGCGGTGCATGCAGTGAGACGCGCGTAGGATGTGTTTGTGTGTGTGTGTCCCTTCCTAGAGTGCAGAAGCCCGATCAGACAGCCCTTGGCATTCTTCCACGCCTCAAGATTCACAAGGCACGGTGGCGGATTTGTTCCCAAACAGTCTTTGCGCTTAGGGTGTCTGACCGGTGCAACTAATGAATTGGATGGGTGTGCAAGGGTATGTTTTCGGCTGGTTCCCGCCCGTGGGCGCCTCGTGTTGGGGGAGTGTCTCGAGGTTTCGCCTGGTGCCCTCCCGTGAGCGCCTTGTGGGCGCCTCGTGCGCTGGGTGGGGGTGCCGAGGTTTCGCCTGGCGACCGCCCGTGGGCGCCTCGTGGGTAACTCATGGGCGCCTCGTTGGCGCCTCGCAGGCGCCTCGTGCGCTGCCTGGGCGTGCCGAGATTTGCCTGGTGCCTGCCCGTTGGCGCCTTGAGGGGGCCTCGTTCGCTGGGTGGGTGTGCTGAGGTTTCGCCTGGTGCTCGCCCGTGGGTGCCTTGTGGGTGCCTCGTGGGCGCCTCGTGGGCGTCCGCATATATTGCTCCATATATATATATATGTATATAGCGTTTACCACATAGGTTGCACCACATGAATTGTGATGCACAGCTTACACCACACAGCTTGCACCACACATGTTACACCACATAGCTTGTACTGCATAGTTTACACCACATGGCCTCTCCACCAAGCTTACACCACATAGCTCGCAACACATAGCTTGCATCGCACAGCTTGTGCCACATCGCTTTCGCAATATAGCATAGCTGGCACTATGTAGCTTAACATCCACAGTACGATAATGCATTGTGTGGGGTCCACGCTTGCAACTATGTTTCTTTCAAGGGAGCGTGGCCTCGGGAGCGTGGATCTATATGAATTCGAGGCTTCGTGGCCTTGGAAGCACGGGTCCATTGTTGTGTTGAACAGGGGAACGAGGACGATCCATGCGAGGGAGTTTGATGAGAGGGGGCGTAGGAGATTACAGGAACTCTACCATGCGGCCCTTGGCACTCTACCACGCCTCCACGTGCCAGGGGGCACGGTGGCTGATCGTTTCGCAGGCGACCTCAAGATTCTTGGTGACATTACTGAGCCATCTGAGAGTCGAATCAAGACGGGACCCTGCGGCCGCCAGGTACCACGCATCTGCGTCTGAGCACTACGATAATGCCCTGATTGCCGCGTGGGTGATGAAAGACAAAGCGACCATCAAGAGGTTGCTGGGAAGCATCATGCCGCCTACCGCTGAGGCCTTCGGCACAGTGGGAGGAGGTAGAGAATGAGTAGCAGGATTGGTAGGATTGGAGGGTGAGATGATGATGAGGAGGAGGAGTATGCACAGAAGTGGTGGTGGTGGTGATGGCCGCGAGTCGGAGGGGGCGCGTCGAGCCGCTCCCACTCCCGTCCGCGCCACCGCCCCTAGGGACAGGCGACGAGGGCCCCGAAGCCGCGGGACGCACGCACAGACACTACGCGTAGTGTTCGTGCGTGCAGCCCAGCCGCTCAAGCCCGAGGGCCAGGCGGCCGCGGCACCCCAGGAGGACGGGTGGGGGCCATCGCAGGGCCCCCCCGACAAGAAGCCGAGGCGGATCCAGCGGGGCGGGGAGGGCTGCTGGGCCGCCCTGGCCCGCCATCCCCGCGGAGTTGGAGGAGGAGGAGGAGGAGGAGCTGGAGGAGGAAGAGCTGGAGGAGGATGGAGCGCGCTGCCAGAAGAAGGTCAGGGAGCAGCACGCCAAGTCTCAGACCGAATCGTGGCAGAAAGGCTGGGTTCGCGAAGGCATGACTAATCAACACGCCTGTTCCCCCCACTTATATTTCCTACGATGCGCTGATGGGTCACAGTTCGCAGCAATGAAGCCCACCAGGGATGCTGCGTTGACGATTGCCCATCTTTGTAGACACATGCTATGACAAAGCTCCCAGCAATCGCCGCACATAGCCGACAGGTGAGCTGTAGCTGCATGTGGCGCAAGCCAGAACACGATATTCAAGCTGGGCGAAGAGGAGGGCGGAGGGAGATGGCCGCCGGCGAGACCGAAGGCGCCGCGGGTGGTCTAGAAGGCTGGACGACACACGCGTAAGAGCTAGGAGGCCGAGCTGGCATCCCGGCGGTCACGACTCGACAGGTGAGACAGACGGACAAGAACATAGGAGCAGAGGGCGCGAAAAGAAGGGGCAGGTGATTGAAATTGGGCGGCACCGCCCGTCACGAGGTTGAGACTGCTGGGATTGCTGGGGCTGCTTCGGTTGATCGGAAGAAGCTGGTGCAGCATGCAGCAGTTCTACTGTAAACCGTGAAGCCCAAAGCGGGGTGGTGCGAAACCCGGCTCGGGACGGTGGAGTGCTGTAATATAGCATGGGATGGGATGGGAGCGCAAGCGAGCCGCCAGGCCTGGCAGCCCCAAACCCGAAGGGCACTGCTGTGCCAAGGATGGGAGCCAGTGGCACGAGGGCGCCGTCGTCGAAGCTACCACGGCGGGTTGGCAGGTCGTCCGTATGCGGCCGAAAACATGGGATGGGATGGGAGCGATGCGAGCCGCACTGGCCCGACAGACCACAGCCCAGAGGACCAGGACATGCCGAGCGTGAGAGTGCACGTGCCACGAAACGCCTCTACCGATTCAGTCCCAGCGGGGTGGTCGGGTTGCAAGACGTGGCCTGTAGGGCGAGGGCAAGCGCGCCCGATCAAGCACGCCAAAGAAGGTGCAGCCCAAATGAGAGTGGGCGGGTGCAGGTTATCGAGCGGCGGGGGTCAAGATGGCGAGAAACCCTGCCCTAAGGAGGAACGCCAGAAGCGGCGGTAGCATGGACGCCGTTGTCCGAGTGCGCACATCTTTGCTACCCTTGTCGAGCATCAGTGCTTTCTTGCACCACTTTCTCAGTTATCGAAAGCGCTTTGCCCCGTGAGATGGCGAGGGGCATGCTTGGCCACGCGGCGCAGAGGTCGCCAGCACACCATGCGATGGCGCGCGCGTCTGGTGGTTATGAAACCGTTTGCTTCGGGGCCTTGAAGCCACCTCGTTGTTCTTGCGCATGTCGTGAAATAGCTTACCGGCTTGCAGGGCGCTGAGGGCGCGCCGCGCGCGAGGCCGATTGGGTCCAACTTGCAGGGGCCGGTTCAGATGGCTTGGTGCCAAACGGGCAAGATGTCCTGAGGTCGTCTTGGTCTTGCCCGCAGAGGTTGGGCCAATGGGGCAAGCAGCCAGGATACGAACGCGCGCGCCCGACGTCAAACGGATCAGCGCAGGCATCATCCCCGTGATGACTATTTCGATGTGTCTCCGCTGTGCACGGCGGGAGGAGCCACGGCACACAACAGGCTCACATATTTGCGGCCCGAAAAGTCGAGACGTCAAGTTTCTCGCCATGCTGGGCCATTTGAGGGCTGGTCGGGCCTCCAGACCGTCAAACAACGGCCAAGCATGACACATTGCCCCTGGGGAAGTGGTCGAGAGGTTTAGGGCCCACGTCTTGAACACAAGACCGGCACCCCGGACAGGCTGTCGCACTCCGTTCGCTTTGCTTTTTGGGACGGGCGACTTGGCGGCTCCACCGCAGCGTGAAAGGCATGAGGAAGAGGAATAGGACGAGGAAGATAAGGATGATGATGGTGGTGGTGGTGGTGAGGAGGAGGAGGATCAGTAGGAGGAAGAAGAGAGGAAGAAGAGAGGAGGAGGAGTAGGAGAATGATGAGGAGGAGCAGGAGGAGGAGGAGGAAAAGGGTGAAGAAACGATGTGGAGAGCATCAGCAGAAAGTGGTTGCACGTATGCATCTTGCAATGTCGGGTTGAATTGATTGAAAGGCATCTCTCATGGTGTTGTCACCCTCATCCTATATGTCTCCCTGCCCTTGCTTCTGCGTGCTGCTCTTGCTCCTGCTGCCGCTTCCGCCGCTGCTGCTCATCCTCCTGCTCCTCTTCTCCTGCAGGTGTGGCCGGGCTCCTTCAGACACCAGAAGTTGGCTGTGCAGCATTGGGAGTCCGCCATTGACAATTTGGACCCCAGTCTCGACTTGCACAAGAAAGGCGTCGACGTGGCGCCTGAGGAGAAGGTGCCTCGGCTTTGGCTAACCATTCCCCGGATTCCATCGGTGTGCCGCGGAGGCTTAGTGAATCCAGGCAAGAATATCATTCAGAACCTCGCGAGATTTTGATATCGACGTGGTGGCGACGCTAGGGCGGGCGCTCTCGGTTGAAGGCCACCTGCGGGCTGAAGGAGGTCAGCCTCGATCGATCTCCGCTGTCGGCAAGCGGGCGTCGCTCAAGATTTAACAATCTACGCGGTGTCAGAAGTCAGCGACACAGAAGGAACCAGCCGTGACGTATTTGAGGGATCTGGAGGTCCGTAGGAGTTCCCAGAGGTCGCAGAGGGAAACGATTTCGAGACGGACTCAGTGAGAGATCTGAAGCCTTTGGCCACGACCTCGGAGGGCCACACTTCCGGAGGCGATACAGATTCGAGGCCTGCGACCCAGGGGAGTCTTGAAGAGGCTTGGTGCGGAGACCTTCCACGGCCACGAAAGGCCGGGTACAGAGGCCAGACAGAGAAGTCTTTGAGGTCCTCCAGGGGCTGGGTCGCCCGCCGCAACGCCAAGATAGCCTGCTTCGCGCCTCGCGGCCCAGGCCGCGGAGCTGATCTTCTGCGATGCGGCGCGAGGGCGCGACGACGAACCGCGCGTCGCCACCTCCGAGGCGCGAGGCGCGAAGAGAGGCGACCCGCGTGTGCTCCAGGGGCCTTGGCCTCGACGTCGCTCGCGGGGACGGGCGCATGTCTCCGACCGTTCTCGCCGTGCGTACGGCGCGGCTCCGCTTTCTCTGGGCTCCAGGGCGCTCGGGGGGGTCGGGGGCAGCTTTGTGAGGGGCCTCCGCTCCTCAAAATGGCTTCAGGGAGTATCGGCGCCCCACGCGGGCGACGTCTCGAGCTGGGGCGGTCATCCTCGCCGATGCTTGGGGCATCCTGGGTCGTCTTGGCGACAATGCAGCGGCATCCTGACCATCTGGGAGTCGAGTGTGGCCGTCTCTTTTGGGGGCCCGGGGGGTGTTCGGGCGATTTCAGGACCCTCTTGGACTAGGTGGCCCACGGCCCAAGCTCCCGCCACCGTGCCTTGGTATGATACTGTTGGGGACCTTGTGGGAACCCTCTTGGAGCTCTCTCCGTGCTCTCTTGGAGGCTTTTTGGAGCTCTCACCAGGCTCTCTGAGAGTCCCAAATTCTTGAAGAGGGGCCCCAAAGGGCACCAAGAGGTTCTGAAAGGTCTGAGAGGGCCCCAATGAGGGCTCCCGAAACAGCCCACAACAGTGTCATACCACAGCTTCCTGGTGTGATACTGCTGAGGGCTTGCCTGGAATGGCGTGGGGGTCCTCTGGAGGCTCTCCTGGGGTGCTCGGGCGATTTCAGGCCCTTCTTGGAGTATCGAAGACTCCTACGGCGAATCACCGCCGCCCCCTGTCTTTTGGAATCGCCCATGTGGCCGAGCATAGTGGTCAGAGCTCTGCCAATATCTGAACATGCTTTCCCCCACCCGTTGTGGAAACCCTTCTGGGAACATGCGGGGGAGGAAGAACAAGCGGAGGCGAGGGATGACACATGGAGAGGAGCACAAGGATGATGAGGATCAGGAGGAGAAGGAGGCGGAGGAGGAGGAGGAGGAGGCGGAGGAGGCTGAAGAGGAGGATGAGGAGGAGGATGCGGAGGATGATGCTTGGGGCCTCCTCGGAGCTTCTCGGGGGCCTCTTGGAGGCCTCTTGGGGCCTCCTTGGGGCTCTTGCGGGCCTTTGGGGGTTTCGTCGGAAGCCGTCTTGGGGCCTTCTCTGAAACGACTTGGGGCCCTCTTGGTGAGCTCCAGGGCCGTCTCGGAGGCCATCTTGGGCGTCTTGGAGGCATCATGGGCCGTCTCAGGGACCTCTTGGGACCGTCTTGGGGCCACCTTTGCCCGTTCTGGGGCCATCTTGGGGGCCATCTTGGGTGGCCCGTCGGGAGGCCGACAAGAAGGTAATGCCATAATCCTTCAACACCTAAAGGCAATCAATGATTTTGGCCTCTTCGGGCTCTTTTGCGAGCCTCTTGGGCCGTCTCGGAGGCCTCATGAGAGCCCTTTGGGCCATCCTGGGGCCATCTTGGGTTGTCCTGGTGGCTTCTTTGGCGGACTTGGAGGCATCTTTGACCCTCTTAGGCCGTTTGGGAGGCATTCTTGGACCATCTTGGGCGACCTTGTATGCCATCTTGGGCCATTTAGGCTCTCTCGGGCAATTTTGGCTCAAGGAGTTCATACACCCAAGCCCTTACACCGAGTTACTCCGCATACCCCGCATGCTCTATATCTGTCGTTCCCATACCCTACATCTGTCTTTCCCCATGTTCTCTGCAGACGATGTCTTCCAGTCTTGAGCAACAGCTTACTGCGAGGATGCCCCCTGACCGCCAGCCCGCGCGGACACAATAGTGGAACCGGTACTCTGGTAGGCAAGCTCCTGAACCACCCATGGGGGAAGATGCGGGCTGAGAAGAAAACACGGCTCGGCCACTGGCCAGACTCGCCATTCTCGCGGGCCAGACGGGGTACGTCCTGATGGATGGGGATGTGGAGCAGGAGAGAGCAAAGGACGAGGACGGTCAGCGATTCCGGCAACCCGATTTTGGCGATGCACTAGGCCCTGGAGGCGAGGGGGAGGCTGTGACGATGGCAGGACTTGCAAGTCTCGTGCAACAGCAGTTGGCCCCTATGACCTCCGTTGTCGAGGACCTGCGGAAGCGGATCACGAAGGTGGACACGACTGTCGCGAATTTGGCCACTTCCCTGACGAGCCGCCTGGAGGACGTAGAGACGAGTCTCACATCGACCGACATCCGTGTCGAAAAGTGTGAGGCCCCGATCGGGAAGGTGAGCGAGCGGAACACCCCAACCATGGATGATATCGAGGTCAAGATCAGAGAGTACCTCCAGCTGGCGGCGACGCACGGTACCTTCAAGCAAGGGCCCGTCGCGAACAAGCGGACGGTGACGGCAGTCTTTGGGAGCCTTACCTGCTTCGACACTCTCGAGATCGCCACGGCCTGTCTCAAGGACCAGCTGCGCTTACCCAACGCGCCGCCCTCGACTAAGGTGTACAGCAAGGGCGCTTTCAAGGGCCTCATCTTCCCAGAGTTCGGCGACGTGAGCTCTCGGAACCGTGCTGTGGACCCGCTCCAGGACACTGGGCTCACGAGACTGGACAAGCGCATGTGCCGTCGCAGGACCGCACACACATCGACATCAGTGATACATCACTTTACGTGCTGACCGTGGGTGGAGAGCACGCGCTAACAGTGTACGTGAAGAGTGACGACGTGGAGCACGAGTGGCAGGGCGAGTGGGCCACGTGGCAACAGCTCCACGATCACCCTCACATCAGGGAGCTTGGCGCGACGTGCCGCGACCTCTTGGCCAAGGCGTCCGCCGGCATGAAGGGCGTGGCGAAGGGCGCAGGCAAGGATGGCGCCAAGGGGCGCCAGGCCTGCTAGGGGCCACCGCACATGAGCAATGTTTCAACAACTTCACCCGTTGATGGTATCACTACGGTTCCAGGTGCGGAGTTCAGAACTCAAGATTGCGATCTCCCGACCATCCTTCCTGCTGCTGGCGGCGCGGCGGAGGCCTCCCTGTTTCGAGGTGGTGCTCTCCTTCCTTGCGAGAGTCGGCTTCGCATGCCAAGCTGGAACATTGAGGCCCTCACGGAGGATATCAGAGGGATCTGTGTATCGATGCTTGCTGTCAATAAGACGCATTTGTCGGGCTTCACACATTACATCACAGGCACGGTTGTTTGTTCTCCATCTTCTGGCACATTGCAAGGGAGGGTGCCACAGACAGCCGGCTCTGGGTTCCTGAGCAGCCCCAACCTGAGGCAGAGCATCGCGGGGTTCCACCAGCAGACGTGGATCATTTCATCATTGAAGCTGCGCGTGCGCGGGGGCGGGGCCGCAGTGCGCAGCATCAGCGTCCCTCTCAATTTCAAGCCAGGGCCAGAGTGGTGGAAGTTCTCCGACGATTCGGCCGGATGTTTGGCTTCTCTCTCTCGAGGCATGGCCCGTTTCTAGTACTTTGAGATTCAAATGCGCGGCGGCGCAGGCGATGCCCGCAAGAGGGAAATAGCATGGACCCCTGCATCTGTGGCTCTCCTATAACATAGTTTAGCGCCGCGGCCAACGCGAGCCTTTTCGCAGAGTTTCGCGCGAAGCAACACCTCATAATTAGAACCTTGTTTTTCGATGTGCCAGCGGAGAACCACATCGCGTGCGAAAGCGCGGGCAAGTCTGCCAAGGACTTGGCCACCACCGAGAACTTCGGCCACGTGGGCTTTACGCTCATCTCCGCCGAGTGGGCTGGCGTGCTCACTGTGCGCTGCCGCGCGCTTGCTTCGCGACATTTTCTGGTCCTTTCGGGCATGGGTGTCTTCATTTCGAAGCCAGCCCTAGAGCGTAGGGAGATGCGAGGTCGCCCAGACTGGCGTTGATTGCGCTTTCCCGCGGCTTCCAGCAACTTCGCCCAGACGTTCGCGGACCGTCTTCCTGATGCAGATCCAGAGAACATGTCCGCCGATGAGCTGGGGCGAAGCATGGCGAGCGCTTTCCCTTCCGCGCCGCCGTGGGCGCCTCGGCCCCCGCTGCCAGTCTGACGCCCGCAGACTTTGGATCTCGACCCGCGCGCTGCGCCGCGTTGAGACCCGCGCTGGGGCATTCAGCGCGAGAGAAGCATGGGCAAGACATTGAAGGACTCGGTAAAGAAGGACAGGGCTGAGTGGCGTGACGGCCTGCTCGTTTCTGGCGACAGGCATCAAGTGGGGCGCCTTCCGATATCTGCCCGAGACAAGGGCGACTTCGGAACCTTTCAGGCTGACTCGAGGACTCCGAGAGGCGCGCGGGGGCCCTCGCGGCGCTAGGTGGCGCAGGGTTGGCGGCTCCGATGGGGCGCCCGGGGTGGGGCGCGCCATTCGATGGCGAGGAGATGGGCGACAGCGCGTTGTCAGATGCGTTGGAGGGGCAGGCCATGCCCGACTCGCGGCGCGAGGGGCTCGCCACCGCCATCTGCAAGGCGGCGAGGCCCGGCGCGAGAACGCGAGGCGCGCGTGCCAAGGATCACGCAATCACGGATGCCGGACAATGGGGGATGGACATGGCGCCATTTCGTGGTAGTTCCGAAGATGCGCGCGAGTGCTGCGACACGCCGGCGACCATGACGAGGGGGCAGCGAATCGCAGCGTGGCTGTGTGGACGCAGCGCATGGTTCGTTCTGAATGCGATCTCGATGCGACGGGAATGGTATGCGAGGCTTCAGCGGCGCATTCTATAATGGGCCCCCTGGCACGGGGCGAAACGCTCGGCCCCGAGAGGGGGGGGGGGGGGGGCGGCGCGATGGAGCGCGTGGCCGAGGCCCGCCGCCGCGCCCTCAACGCATTGCGGAGCGCCCCAAGGCCCGTGCAACCCCGGAAGGCAGGGAGGTTGTAAGGTTCTCAGTGGCCGGGGCCCTTGGTTCCCGAGGCGCTCTTGCGCGCTCCTGTGCGGGCCCAGGGTGCGTCGCGCGGGCTTCTGGGCCGCTGCGAGGGCCTGGGGGCGGGCCGAGAGGGTCCTCGCAGACTCCCAGGACGGTGGAAAAATAGCCCCGGGTCGTCGCGCGATCGCCCAAGACGCCCAATATGGCATCCAGACAGCCCAATATGCGCTTCAACAGGCCCTCAAATGACCTTCCGGTGCTGTCCCGAGAGACAGCGATAACATGTGTGTGATGCGCGTTCGAAGAATTGCTCGGTTCGGGGGGCCTTGGTGCGAAGAGCTTGTTGCGCCACTGTGGGCTCGTCGGAGCCGTCGTGTAATTTGACGCCGCGGTCGGTCGGTTGTAATATGCGGCAAGAGGGGGGGCGCGGGGGGCCGCGTTTGGGCAGGGGGGCACGATCGGTCGGTCGGAATGAGCAGAGGGGGAGGGGGCACAGGGGGAAAGGGGAGGGCGCGGGGGAGCACGGTCGGGGGAGCGTGGGGAGCGCGGTCGGTCGGTCGGAGTAAGCAGAGGGGGACGCGCGGAGGGAATGGGCGGGGCACGGGGGGCCGCGGTCGTGAAGGGGGGCGGGGGGAAAGGCGCGGTCGGTCGGTTGGGGTGGCACGGTCAGGCAGAGGGGGTGGCACGGTCGGCCCGTCGGCATAAGCAGAGGGGGGGCCACGGGAGCATAGGTGCGGGCACAGGGGGGAAGGGAGGGCGCGGGGGCACGATCGGGCAGGGGGGGCACGGTCGGTCGGTAGGAATAAGCAGGAGGGGGGGGCACGGGTGGGCACGGGGGAACGCGGTCAGGCGGGGGGGGGGGCGGTCGGTCGGTCGGAATGAGAACACGGGGGGGGGGGGGCACAGAGGGAAAGGGGGGGCAACGGGGGGGGCGCGGACGGGCCGGGATGGCGCACGGTCGGTCAATCGGAATGAGGGGGAACGCGGGGGGCCACGGTCGGGCAAAGGGGGCCCGGTCGGTCGGTCGGAATGAACAAAAGGGGGGGGGCGCAGTCGGGTAGAGGGGGGGCACGGGGTGCCACGGTCGGGCAGGAAGGGGCACGGTCGGTCGGTCGAAATAAGCATAAATGTGGGTACGCGCGGGGAAGGGAGGGGAACGCGGGGGGCCACGGTCGAGAAGGGGGGGCACGGTCGGTCGGTCGGAATAAGCAAAGGGAAGGGGCACGGAGGGAAAAAAGGGGGGTGGGGGGCCACGGTCGAGCAGAGGGGGGGGGAGGGCACGACGGCTGGTCGGAATGAACACGAGGGGGGCACAAGGAAAAGGGTGGGAGGCACGGGTGGGGGGGGCATGGGACGGCACAGGGGGGGGGGGGGGGGGGCACGGTCGGTCGGCTGGATTAAACACAGGGCGGGGGCCACGGGGGAAGGGCGGGAGCACGAGGGGCCGCAATCAAACATGGGGGAGGGCGCGGTCGGTCGGCCGGAACGCGTAGACGGGCGCAGGGTGGGCGGAAGGGGGGCACGGGGTGGGATAGGGGCCGCGGTAAAATCCTGCGAGGTCCGCGTTCGTATGTGAGCCATGCAACCAACGATGTCCTTGAGCTTGCGCGCTGTGTAATGCCCAGTTTTGCGCTCTTAGAACGACAACGGATCTATTTTTTCAGAATTACGTGCGAGGTGACGAGCATCCCCTGCGCCGCTCTGTTTTTAAGCCCGCGGCCGCGCAGGCGGGGCTGACCGCGACAGGTGTGGCCGCTCGATATGCATGTGAGCAAACTAACATCAGTTGGACAGTCATTTCTGCCATTCGGCAGATACCTGGAGAAGCGCAGCGCGGCAGTTCAGCCAGACGCGCTGATTTGTCTGTTTCGCCCATGTGCGTGCGCTCGCGGTTGATTACTATGTTAGAAGCATGCGGGAATCCACTTTTAGGCCGTGTTGGGCGAGCGAGGCATTGGCATGCAGTTTTTCTGGGTGGCCGCGGGTGGCCAGCGCGCTGTGCCGAAGCTCCAGGGGCAGGTTCTTAAGTAACCCAAGCCATTTGAAATTCAGCACGCCAGGCGTCTCTGTGGCAAGCCAGCAGGGGGCGGCGGATCGAAGCCGCCCACGGCGAATCACCGCTGCCCCCTGCCTTTTGAAGTCGCCCGTGTGGCCGCGCGTTGTGGCACGAGTTTCGCCAAGCTCTCGGACCATGTGTTTTCCCGGCCGTTGTGGAAACCCTGCGGGAAACTTTTGGGGGAGGATGGCGAGGAACATCAGGAGGAGGACGGGGCGGAGTGGGAGGAAGAGGGCGAGGTGGAGGCCGGCGGTGGCGGCGGGGGCGGCGGCGGCGGATGATGATAATGATGATGATGATGATGATGATGATGATGATGATGATGATGATGATGATGAAGATGATGCTGTTGATGATGATGATGATGATGATGATGATGATGATGATGATGATGATGATGATGATGATGATGATGATGATGATGATGATGATGGTCGTGGTGGTGGTGGTGGTGATGATGATGATGATGATGATGCTGATGATGATGATGATGGTGGTGATGATGTTGATGATGCTGTTGTTGATGATGATGATGGTGATGATGATGGTAATGATACTGATAATGATGATGATGATGATGATGATGATGCTGGTGGTGATGATGATTGTGATTAGGATGCTGATGAGGGTGATGATGATATTGGTGATGGTGCTGATGATGATGGTGATATGATGCTGATGATCTTGGTGATTATGATGATGATGATGATGATGATGATGATGATGATGCTGCTGCTGCTGCTGCTGCTGCTGATGATGATGATGATGATGAGGAGGAGGAGGAGGAGGAGGAGGAGGAGGAGGAGGAGGAGGATGAGGAGGAGGGAGCGGCTCGGGGTATGAGGAGGGGGCATCTTGGGAACCTGTTGGGGCACTCCTGGGGCCTCTTGGGGGCGTTCTGGGAGCCTCTTGGAGGCGTCTTGGGGGTCTCCTGTGTCCTGTTGTGGTTCTTTGGGGGCTTTTCGCGGGCTCTTTTGCCCGTTATAGGGCGTTCCTGGCCCGTTTGACGCCGCTGGAAGCCGTCTTGGGGGACCCTCTGGGCCGACTTGGGGACTTCCTTGGGGTGCTCCAGGGCCGTGTTGGGGACCATCGTGGGCGTGTTGGAGGCCTCTTGGGCCGTCTTGGGTCCCTCTCGGGGCCGTCATGGGGGTGTCTTGGGCCGTTTGGGGGTCATCTTGGATGCCTCTTGGGTGATATCGGGGTGACCTTTGGGGCTCTTGGGCCGTCGTCTCGGGCCGTCGGAAGGCCGAAAAGAAACAAATGCTAACATCCTCCAACAATCTACGATAAATCAATGACGTTGACCTCTTCGGGCCTTCCTGGGCCGTCCTGGAGGCCTCTTGGGGGACTCTTGGGCCGTCTTCCGTCATCTTGAGGCCTTCGTGTGCCATCTTGGAGGCCTCTTGGGCGAACTTAGAGGCATCTTGGACGCTCTTGGGCCAGCTTGGATTCCAGCTTGAAATAGCGTGGGCGAAACTACATCTTGGCCGTCTTGGAGACCATATTGGGCCATCTTGGAGCCGTCTGGAGCGGGAAAAACCTGTGCACCCACCTCTGGAAGAGCCTTCCGGGTGGCCTTCGCGCTGGGCCGGAGCCCCAGGGGGACTTCTTGTGGAAAAAAAACCAAAACCCAAACCGAAAGGATCCAGCACGCCAGGCACCCCTGCGATAAATCGACAGTGGGCGGCGGATCGAAGACGCCTACGGCGAATCACCGCCGCCCCCTGCCTTTTTGGAAGCGCCTATGTGGCCGAACGGTGAGGCCAGACCTGCCAAGCTAT